TTGGTTCTGGTGCGAATCTTATGAGAATGTTGTGATCTAGCTGGTAGTGTTGCTGCACTATGCAACCAACTAGGCTGTCCCTATTCCTTTGGCAGCATTCAAACTTGGCGAGAGCAATGTTTCGATCACGCGTACGACACGCGATCGCTCTTGCCATGCAAGGAGCGGTCGCGGCGTAGGCTCGTCTGATTCGACTGTGCCCCAATGCAACGGGCCGCTTTCAAATTTTGCTGTCAGTCTGAACGCTTCTAAACTTGTCCCGTTTCAAAGCTGCATTTTTGCGACTTACTCGACTGTATGCTCTATCTTTATTGTGTTGCGAAAGCCGAATTCAGAACCAAGGCAGCGTTCATACTTCGGCGGCGATCGCGGCGATCGCCGCGATCGTCGGTGCATGGCAGCGCGCGCCCCAACGCTATTATGGATGCTCGCCTGATGAATAAGGGAATTCAACTTGTAAGACCTTCTTTACTCTTAATAAGGGCTACTAACAGATAAGCTACGACTTTCTACACATAAGCAGATCTGTATATGAGGTAAGAAGGTTTTACTTCGTCGGGATAAGGCCAACTTCATTTCCTTTGTGAGCTTCTTTTTGTCTCTTTTGTTTTTATTGTTTCAATTTATACAAGCGCCTCAAATTCCTATCGTCTGAACTGTTCCAACTTCCAAAACATTTATAGTTTACAAGTCGAGTTCAAACAACGAAGAAAAAAAAAGAAAGAAACTCACCTAGGAACCAAAACACTAATCATTTTACGCAACATCAACAGGTGAAAACTTTATAACCTCATGTATAAGCTCGAAGAAAAAAGAAACAATAAAAAATCTACCTTGAATGAAATTCTCATGCTTATTGCTCATTTCTATCCTGAATCGAGAAAGAATATAGAAAACAAAAGCTATTAAGTTGGGTTCACCTTTCCTTGTGTCAAACCAAGCTTCGGTACCTAAGGACTCGACGACATTGATGGTAGCAAAATATTCTTTCGTCAGAAGGTGCTAATGATGTAAAGTGTGTGCAAGACGTGGTTTAGAGATATATCGACAGAACTCACCAAAGCTGTAGTCGCCAGGATCTTACTATTAAACGCCTTTTGTTTCCTCCGATCAAAATGGATTTCAAGAATCCATTGCCGGAAGAATTTCGTTCCGCTGGGAAAGCAAAGATCAAATTCTACCCGTGGTGATCTGGGATCCTATTATACAGTTTCGTTCTTTACCATTGATTCCAGTCCCCATTAAGCGCTCTTTGAAACTACTCTTGGGAAGAGAGAAGAGTAAGTGCAATGAGAAGCAGGAAGTGATTTGGTCATCAGTTCATATATGCTCGTATGTTGGAAGGTGCTACAGTCGAGCGTACGACCCCAAAACTGATGCAAACCTTTTTTGACAGAAGACGATGCCGTTCGCAATATTGCTCTGAACAAACAAGGAACTGGATGATTAGGTTCCCAAGGCAGGGTTCAGGAGCAAAACGTAGCAGCATCCATTCAGTTTTAGTTTTAGAGCGCAATCGAATCAGACGTGCGTACGCATCCAAAATGCTGTAAAGAAAATTCGAGAAAATCACGGAGAAGTCTATGCATTGTGCTATCGCGGAGCCTGAGATGGGGGTTTAGCAGAGGCCTTGCAGAAGCCAACCTTACGTGCAACTATCGAGAACGATGACGACAGCTGATCGACTGGTTTCTAAAGTGTGACATAACCACTGGAACCATTAGTGCTTCACATTTTGAACAAACACTCGAGAAACTTTATTTTGCGGAAAATCAGTCTAGTGATTCTTCTTAGCTGCTTGTTTGTTGGAGACAAATCATTCCATCATCACTTGTAGACACAGACGACTTTTACTAGGTTCCCTTCGAAGTAGCTGTTGCATCCATATTTGGTGTGTGGAGGAAGATTGCGTACCTACACGAAAACGATGACACAGAATTTTACCAACATGGAAACTCCATGATTTACGAAACTTCTCCCCATTCGGACATCCCACTCACCTCAGGAATGCTTCCGTGATCTTGGGCTTTTCACTGCATAAATTTCCCGTATATAAAGCCCAAGAACTTAGCATAAGAATTTTCATAGTTTTTTTGCGCGGCTTTATTGCCGCGTATCACTTGCACTGTTTCTCTTGGTGGCGGTATATTTCATTTGTAAGGGGCGTATTATGAATTTCTCGTAATCTAACAGTGAGACACACGCTGGTAAAGGGACAGCCGGCGCCACGTCCAAACGGAGTACGTGACCACGCCCCACTCTTCCCCGGGATATGGAGGCTGCATAGGAGAAGGTGTGATGTATCTTGCAAGATCATTGTTCGTTCAACGTCGTAACAGTCTCATCCCTAGAACTGATGCTGAGCTTTCCCATCGTACAAAGATCTTCGATTGCCTGAATTATATCATTGTTTCAAGCTGTACCTTTTCTGTCGGGGTTCGGATCTTGCAACCCGTCCATTAGAGTTTCTCCAATCATGACTGGGACTGATCCACCGCTCGCGAACGTCCTTAATCAGGACGTTACGTTGTGGAATGTACCTTACATGAAAAGATACCTACTTTTCTGCAATGAATTTGTGAGGTGCATTAGAGGCTACAATACCTCTTGCTTCGTTACAAGCGTCACTGGAAAGTCCTGGGTCCCATTCCTGGAAATGAGAATTGTTTCTAGGGGTTTATGCTCGCGTTCCACTCATGTGGGTGCTGAAGATACGCTGCTCACTACCTGCCATGATTTTTTGCCATGAGTGACGTGAATAAGTTCGCGCAGAAAAGTGCCATTTTCGTC